TATGTATGTGCATATATAAACTTAGATCATATATATATATATGATCTAAGTATATATAATTTTATTTTAAACTCTTTTAAACTTTATTTTTATTTTATTACAGGCAGCAGGGGGCCTGTCATTCCAGGCACTCCCCCTGCTGGCAATGCTGTGGACGGCTATTCCGTCAATGTGATCGTGAGGTCCTCGCAAGGACCTTGCGATCACATGGCGCATAAGTGATGCAGGGGGACTCCCTGGGGTGCCAGGTAAGTCCCCCCATCGCGATCACCGGCGCGGGATCTCCGGTGATCAGGTACGTAGAAAGGACGGCGGGATGTGCTATGCCGCCAGCGGCGTTTAGAGCCGAGTCCCCAAGGACGGCATAGCACGCCCGCCGTCCTTATGGGGTTAATTGGATCTGGTTTACATGAACTGAGCTATATTCAATAACCTTCATGAAAAAGCCAACATATTGTTTTTTTTTTGTTTTTTTTTATAACACACATACACATTCATTGCCACTATGCTATAAATGTTGGCATTAGCAGCTGGTCTGACTGCCAACCTCTAAGGCAAGATCAGATTCAACCAACCTCCTTATAACCCTTCTAAAGAAACCTCCTTATAACCCTTCTAAAGGAAGACTGAACCCAAAGGTTTTGTTTTAAAATCTAATTAAATGTTACCATACTTAACCTCCCCATCAATATGCTTCAAGTATTTCCTCTAAATCAGTGGCTCCCAAACAAGACCCCATGACCAGTCTATGTATCCCTCCCCATTTAAATAGATCCCGAAATGCCGGTGGGCCACAAGGACCAGCCAGGAATCACTGCTCTAAATGTTAACGAAATTGACTACATAAGCTCAACTTCTTTAGTATCAGAAAACTTTTAACAAATTTTAACAATGAAAATAATTTCACTCTACCTAGATCAGCTTGACCTCTCTTTTTTAACTTTGAATATCAATATGCATGTGCTGGACTAATATATATATATATATATATATATATATATATATATTATTTTTTTTTTACCATTTTATGCTAAAGCTTACTAAACAGGTCCAAGGAGAAGAGGGCCGGCTTCTTTACACCTGTTCTTCTTTACAGGTGCTGTTCCTTTAAATTCTGCAGCTTTTGGCTGTGTAACTGTGTATTGTTTCTTCCTCACATGAGGGCACTTCTTTGCCGCCAAAGCCGTCAAGCAACCAGCCGCAAACTCTAGGCGTCAAGAACACTCTTCAGGAGTCTCCCAGTCAGTGTTTGAAGTCTCTGGCAGCGAATTTAAACCGGCTCTCCTCCAGCGATTCAAGTCTTTAAACGGACACTCAACTGCTGCCTGCTCTTCACAAATAAAGCTTTTTTAAAAATCTAAAGTTGCTTAGGGGTCTAGAGTGACCCTTTAACATTAAATCTTCTGAAGCCATGAAGTTTCCGAGAGTCCTGCTTCAGTCCACTCTGACAGGATTAAACCTGTGCTGCTTCTTTTTATACTGTTCCAGTTTCCCGCTCTTTTTCTGCTTGCAACTTTCAACCAATCCCAGGCCAGCTCCAGCCCCCCAGAAACAGCTGTGTCATCAATTCTGCCCAGATACCTGACTAACTGACTAACTGCCACAAGATTCAAAATTCCTCACATTCAAATTCTAGACAAAACAGATTAACTCCTTCATTGCCACCATACATATATATATATATATATATATGTATATATATATATATATATATATATATATACAGATTAACTCCTTCATTGCCACCATACATATAAACAGATTAACTCCCTCATTGCCACCATACATATAAACAGATTAACTCCTTCATTGCCACCATACATATATATACAGATTAACTCCTTCATTTCCACCATACATATAAACAGATTAACTCCTTCATTGCAAGCATACATATATGTCACAGTGCATAGTGCCTGTGGTGTCTTTATTTACAATGAACCACTTTGGTTTTAAACCAAATACATAGATTACAAATGTATACGTATCTGAGAATCACTTCTTTCTCTGGAACTATACATAATTGCTGGACACACAGCCTCCGCGTCCCAAATGATGCACTCAGCATCTCACAAATCTTAAAGTGTGAAAGTTGTGAGATACTACATCATTACTTCAACCCACTGCATCTGTGCACACAGCCACCAGAGGACTCCATAAGGAATTAAGAATGATTAAATCAGGAATAAATGTTCAGCTATAAGTTTGATGGCTACTCGAATGTTATTTTCAATGTCTGCTTGTTCGTGTAGTCCTCTATATTATATACCTCATTGGTTTAGCATAGTGTTGTCCATCTCTACTTTGTGACATATATTTATTTGCTAGTTTTGTGTGTTCACTTACCATGCTTTATTTATGTACTTAATGATTTTTATCAGTGGCTAGCAGTGGTATGCTTATACGACTGGTTAATCTGCAAATACCTTTTTATTTTACCTATGTGAATATCATTTTATTACACATTAGTTGCCAATAGCCATCAATTACTTTCATTATTTTATAGAAAAATATATTTTTCTATAATTAGGAAAACAATTTTTCATTGAGATTTTAGTCCCGGGCGGCGTTTATTGATTCATTTTCAGTTAATTACTAGAGTTCTGGAAGGAATTTATTTGTCTCCCTGTCTAGAATGTATAGATGTACGCTATTATATTAATCACCAGATTTTAACTTACTCTCACAAAATGTGAAAATCTTACACTGACAAAGCGAGCCTTAATTTTTGCTACTGATCAATATATTTGAGCATTCGGCTTCAGCCAAATAGAGATTAGTCCGAATTTGGACCAATCAGCTGGTCGGCCGAGGTATGAACTCCAAAGCAGCATGTAAAGGAAAAATTGAGGAAATAACAAGGTGAAGTCCAACTAAGGGGTTAGATGTTCCGCCAATGATGCTAAACAAAAAAGATGATTGATGACTACGGGACAAACACTAAATGTTGGTTTTATTCACAGATCAAGTGAAAATATATCTACATATATATCTTTATAGAGAGATCCCTGTATCACAACTCAGCTTTGAATTCTATGAGTCGTCTTGCTCAGAAATGCTTCAGACTTGAGAAAGGGAGGTTCTCCCGAAAGCTTGTCATTAAAAAATTATGTTAATGCAATAAGAAAGGTATTACACGATGCACATTTTATCTGTTTTTTACATCTTATTATGCATTTATTTTAATAAACATATAGAATTTATAAATATAGATTATTTAATTACTGCTTCTCCTCTTTTTCCTTCTATTGGTCACTCCTCAATTGATCTACGGACCAAATGGCAGGAAAATCAATGTACTGCAAAATATACACATCAAATAGAGTTACGAAGATTGAAGTTACAGTGATGTTCAAGTGATGTTAAAGACCTTCCTTTGATGGTATAGTACTGCATTTCACTTACTTAAAGCACTGCAGAAAATATTAGTGCTATATAAATATTAATAATAATAAATAGACTAGTGCAACATATTTTAGCTATTTTGTTATGATGAGGAAAGAGAATTTATGGCTAAATGACACATAGCATTTTCAGATTGCTCATTTGTACTTGGTGAAAGAATAGTCGCACAGACAACTTCATCTTATTGAAGAGATCTGTGTGCAGTGTCACTGTCCCCTTAGACCTGCAATACTGTTTCAGAGAAATTGGAATGTTTATATTGGAGGGTTAAGAATGCCTCTAGTGGCTCTAGAGGTGCTTCCTGCATTTACACTAAGTTTAGCTCCATGAAACAAAGCTGGATTCATTCAAGGCTCTCCTATGAGAAAGGACTAATGCGTGTGTGGCACTGGAAAGAAGTCAGTGTTTAAAGTATTTTCTTTTGGTCCTTTCCACGTCTGGGAAGGTGGATAAAAGCTTTATTGCTGAGGGAAACTGTGGCGGACCACTTGTTAGAGGACCCAAATGTTGACGCCAAGGCTCACCTTTCTCCGCCAAAGTCTCTCTTCCAGTGCATAAGTCAGTGATTACAGCTTTAGTATTATAGCTTGTATAGCGGTCTCACCAAAGCACTATTTGGGTGAAGAACTGGTTTTATTGTCACACAATGTCACCTTTTATACCTGGGGTCTCAACAGGAGGTCCCCAGGGAGAACAATAGGATTGCAACATCCCCGGCACCCTGATGTCTGTACCTGAGCTGGTAATTTAATTAGCGACCAGAAACCTTTGCACCGGGGCACAGAATACAGAATCATTTCAGTTCCCATGCCCACATGACCAGAGTCCGTGAGAATCTTGGCTCAGACCTCCCACTTAGTCCAAAAAGTGCCTGGATTTCATGTGGCTAACCAGAAATAAAGTGAAGTCAACATTTTAGTTATATTTAGCGGGTCACGGCTAGCCTCTGATCTGGCGCAGAGTTCCATGATGCTCAGTGGTAGGTCCAGGTCACCAAAATTCTTGCTTGTAGGATATAGGATGAGTGATCTTGACGGGAATATCAGGAGCATCTCCTCCCGGATACGCTCTCGCTCGGCTGTCCTGGGACAGCCGAGCAAGAGCGTATCCGGGAGGAGATGCTCCTGATATTCCCGTCAAGATCACTCATCCTATATCCTACAAGCGGGGATTATACCACTGCACGCCTAACAAACTAGAGCTAGCCGAAGCTCTACCGAATGTGAGTGTATCTATTATATTTTATACCTTTTACTGCACGTGTGGAACATACTGCACGATTATTGTTTCCATTTTTATTTCCAACTTGGTCATCTGCCACCACATAGAAGAAGACACTTGCCGTATATCCTGCAAGCGGGGATAATACCGCTGTAAACCTTTCACACCAGAGCTGGATTAAGCTCTGTCAACTGTAAGACCTCTTCTATTTTTACTACTTTGGATCATCCTTTACGTCACTTACATCCTCTGGATATCGTAACAAGTAGAACTTTGGAGACAACAATATAGATTCTTTTGGACTTTATATTATTATTTATTGTGTACATTGGTGCAGACCCATCCCCCCATTTTTTGCTTTTGTCTATCGATCTCTAAAAGACATTAGAGGGAGTCCTTGTCCTGGGACTGCTGCCTTCCCGATTAGCGTTGACTCTATTCCTTGTTTTGTCACAAAAATTCTTGAATGAACGCACCTATATGCATACACACCTAACTTAAAGTGATACTATAGGCACTAAAACAACTTTAGCTTAATGGTTCGGTTTTGGGTTATAGATCATATCCCTGCATTGTCACTGCTCAGTTCTCTGCTATTTAGGAATTAAATAAGTTTGTTTACACAACCTTAGTCACACCTTCCTGCATGTCACTTGCACAGCCTTCAAATATACATCCTATGAAGAGAGATCTAATGTTTACACTTCCTTAGTTGCACCGTCTGTTTAATTTAGAATATATTATATCCTGCTCTGTTAATAGCCTTCTAGACTGTACAGGAGTCTCATGTGTGATTAAAGTTCAATTTACAAAGCAGGGGATAAAAATTTCTAAAGCAAGTTAACATCTGCCTGTAAATGAAATCTTTTTTTATGCAGGCTGTGTGAGTCGCAGCCAGGGCAGGTGTTGCTAAGGCTGCATAAAAAGAAACAAAAGCTATTTAACTCCTTTATGGCAAATAATTGAGCTGTGAAACTGCAGGGGCATGATCTATACACCAAAACTGCTTCATTAAATTAAAGTTGTTTTGATGCCTATAGTGTCCATTTAATATACATGGTCATTCTTCAACTTACATCCTTGTTAATAAATCCCTCCTATATTGATATCCATGAATGGAATGAAGCAATGTCGGTTCTAGCTTCATGAATTACATCAGTTGTTCTGAATAAGAATGTCCTCCATGTCTAAACTACCTCCACTTATTTACTCATTAACGTGAGATTATATTGTCATTAATACAATCATACGGTTATTCACTAAAGTGAGAATTGTTAGCAATTCAAACAGAATTTCAAATTTAAGTACAAAATGATTGAACTGGAAAAATTTGCCAATTTAGATATGCTTCAAGTTCAACTTTGGCCTTAAATTTAAAATTCACTTTGGATTCACTATGGATGTTCGAAAATTCTCACTTTAGTGGATAATCCGATTATCTTAAATTGTTCATCTTCAACCAGTCCTATTAGATTATTAGATTTGAGTTTTATTGAACGTATTATTTTTAAAAATAATTTTACTCCCATCCTACCTTTGTGCAGATTACTTACCAATGACGCGCTTGAAGGATCAACGAACAACCATGGACTGTGCTTTATCATCCTTCTGGGAATCGTCATCATGGCATCAGTTCTGATCCAGTGGTGGGAATTGTTCCGGCATAGTATAATGCTCCACTGGTTTAAAAGAATGCATCTTTACTACGGATCCTGCAGAAATGAAGGATGAAATTTAAAAAAGCACAGCAATTCAAGGAAAATTCTAATTTTTCAGTGCGGCTGTGTCTGAAGTAAGTATTGTTGTCTGTTGCAGAAGATAATTTTTTGAATTATAGAGAAATTGTCTCTTTCGGAGAAGAATTGGTTCCTCGTTCCTTTACCCCAGAAACACTGTATCAGCTTTTACAGGGGTGAATAATGCAGCTGTGGTAAATAAAAACACATTTACCTCTGGTACCTTTCAGCAATGTGTTTTCGATGCCCCATGATTGCTTGACTGCTCACACTTGCATCAAATCTAACAATTCCTATACATGCCTGAATGCTTGGAATTTTGTCCACCAACGTGTGCATGCGCTGTGTGAACGTATGTAAGTAAGAAAAATAAAGGAAAAACTATTCCAAAAAATTGTTAGTACACCCAATAGCTCATTTTAATTAGTTATTTGGTTATGCTAAAATTTGCAAAGTTTCTCTTTAACTCACATTTCAAACACACACACACACACACACACACACACACACACACACACACCCTAACTCTCACCACTTTTGCTTGCTATTACCTAAAAACAACAGACCTTAAAATAGGTAAACTGTCTGTTAAAGCAAATACAATGGCTCTATAGGCCCTTAGTTCATATCACAGACTGCAACAAAATAGTGGGTAAGATTTATGTTCAGCTATGTGGAAAGAGCAAGGTCAAGAATGCTAACTGTGTACACTCCTTACAAGGCTCAGGACAGTTATAAAGAAACTATCTGTATTTTAGGTTAAAATGGGGGTGGGTACTTTTACAGAAAATGTATACGCTAAAGAAATGTCCTGTTTTCTTCCAGAACAGTCAATGATGCTGTTTTTCATAGTAATATCTTCTATTAACTCCAAAGTAAATGTGGTTAATATTTATTTGTTTCATGTACTGGAAAATTCAGATGGAATGTCTGAGCTCTATTTCTAAGAATAATCTTTGGTCATGCAAGTCACTTATTTGTTTTGTGACTACATTTTTTTCAGAATTTTAGGCAGTTCAGCTGTTCTTATAAAATACGAAGGAACAGATACAGAACACAACAAATTAAACGAAGACAAAAATGCTTGCCGGAAGAAGAAATTTTGTTTGTGTAATTCGTCTGTTCGTTTATTCATTTAGTTGCAAGGAGGGAGTTACCAGCTCCATCCTTGTAACTGAATTATTTAAAAATAGAAGCAGTGAGGACTTCTGCTGCCCATCACTTCCTAACTCCCCAATACCCACCTCACCCAAGACTGTGGGTGTGGGATTACAAACATGAAGCCTTTGTGGGGGTCAATATGACCACATATTGGTATATGGTAGGTTTAAATCCTCCCTCATGCCCTCATGGTGTGGGTATGGGCATGTAAACTAAAAAGGAAGCAGGCACTGGCTGCTAGCTGTCATAAAAGACTGGCTGGTCCTTTATAACTCCATCTTTGTTTTGAAGGATACACTGCTAATCTGTAGTGATTGGAGTGCACTGTGAGTGCAACTGGCGAACATATTAGAGATGAATGGAAGGGTTACACCTCATCAAATAAAGGAGAAGATGCAAGGTAAAGGAAAAAAATAACACCACGTTGGTTTCGCCAAGTGTCCATGTGAGTGGTTAAATTGCATTTGATATACACCTATTCTAGAATTTTGACATACTGTCAACATTTTTATCTGCTTGTTATGTTACTTCAATCTAACATATTTTGTGATATTGTTAGGAAAAAGATATAATATAAGAATTTAATATGGTGTGTTTAACAATATCAATATCAGTTTAAAAGCTCTTCATTTTCCTAGAAGTCCATAAGTGGCTGGCAAAAGGTGTCCTGAGGGTGGAAAACATTCTTGACAAGACCGCACTAAAACCATTCCCAACTCTACAGGCAGAATTCTCCCTCCCCCCCCCGAGACCTATTCCTATACTTAAGGGTCAAGAACATCTTACAGACCAATTTACAAGCTACAGAGCCCACACAGAGGCTTACAGCTCACAACACACAACACCTGTTGACTGCCCGCCACATCAAGCCCCTGGCACTATGTTATAATGCCCTATGGGAAGCGGCTACCCCACTTAAACTTCATTACATGACACAATGGGAAAGAGATATCGGTAGGGAATTCGCGATACAACAATGGCACAAGGCCATAGCCAACACCAAGAAGGCATCTAGTAGCATCTCCATGTGGGAAGCATACAGCAAAATCACAATGAGATGGTACATGGTGCCGCATAGATTAGCCAAAATGTACAGTACAGTCTCCTCTTTAGGCTGGAGGTGCGAGAAAGCCCAGGGTGCACTGATCCATGTCTTCTGGGAATGCCAAGACATTCAGCCTCTGTGGTTATGCGTACAAACACTGGTAAACAAACTAACCCAATTTACCATGCCACTGACACCTGAAGGTTACTTACTACATATGTTGCCAATGTTACATCAGAAGCACCACACCCCACTAATTGTAAACCTTCTCACAGTCACTAAAATGGCTATAGCATATCATTGGAAGGACAAAGCTATCCCCTCGATGGAAGAGATCTCAAAGAGATTAGATAATGTCTGTCTATACGAAAACATGGCTATGGGTCTGAAGGGGAAAGCACAACAACATGAGGTGGTGTGGCAGGACTGGCTCACATACCGAAGGACGAGCACTACATAGCGGGCCAGGCCCGACACCAATGATAACAATAACAATAATAATAACAACACAAAACCGAGGAGAGTATAGCCACTGTAGTTCCCTAAGCATTCCTCAATGGTCCTAGATCGAGATCAAGCTCAAGTTCCAGTACAAGTTTCTGTTAAGTTGAGTTCACTCGCTTCCCTGAGTTTCCCCATACTCCATACACATCGACCAATGTGGGCCAAGCAATGAACATGTCAAGAGTCAAACATATGCAGGCACCAGAACATAGTTACTATATGGCAATAACCCTAGGAGGTGAACCTGCACATACAATGTAATGTATGCAATGTAATGTATACTGTAAAACAGTACTATCTGTAGACATGCACCGATATGCACAACCGAATAAGAAGTGTAGGCGTTAAACAGGACTGTAACGCATACTGCCCCGAGTGAAAGCTGTTGATAATGCAAACTACCATGTAATGTGTATGATTAATGTATAACTAATGTATGTATATTTTATTGTGGAACCCCCTATCCCTTGTCCCTTTTCCTTCTGTTCCCCTGTTTCTCGAGACAAAAACAATAAACACAAATATGATTAAAAAAAAAAGCTCTTCATTTTTTTTTTCTCTTTATGGTAGCAGGGATGGGATTTAAAGAGTGACAACAACACCATTTACAATTGGCTACAACTTGTTATGGAAAATAATTATTTTTCAAGCCCTCCCCTTCTAATCCTGCTCAGACTTTATGTGTCTGTCCATTCACAGCAGCTCAATGACAAGTCTTTACAAGGCAGGTGCTCTGGGTAATTGCTGCATCCTCAGTTTAGCTCCACTGAGCTAACCAAACCAGGAAGTATCAGGATTGGTTGTCTGATTGACAGCCATGGGGGTATAACAAGGTGTATTTATTTCTATTCATATCTGCACTTTTTGTAAAATGAAAAAATAGGACACACTCTTCACTCATAAAGCACTTCGGCAAGCTAAAGTGCTTTGGGGTCTGGAGTGTTCCATATATGTTTTAGTTCTAATAGTGGAATACTGGGTTTTGGAATACTGCTATAGCACTGAGCAGCCCAAGGTGTAAGTGGCACATAAGCCCAACATAAAACCAACAGTTTGCCTTGGGCAAATACTGTATAAAAAGAGGTCTCAGTACTGTATTCATTCATGATATAGGAAAATATAGGTGCAACCTAAATGAACTTGACAGATTGACCACCCCCAGAAGATGCATCGCCCTACATACAATATTACGTGTCAGGCAGCGCAACACCAACCGCAGCAGCAGACGACACACCAGGGGAGAGGAAGCCGACAGATTGTTGATGGTTAACACCACCCCCAAATTGTCACAGTGAAACGCGACCCGCTGATCCCGAAGCAGATTGCCCCATAACTCCACTGCCACCACAATTGGGAACAGCTCCAAGAACGCTAAGTTCCTCGTCAGCCCCGATGAGGAACGATGCCCATGTGACACCAGTGGGCACCCAGGATGACCCCCAAAGCCTACCGATTTTGCAGCGTCAGTAAACAAGTCAATCTCCGAATTGGACACTTCCAGGGCCTGCCAGTAGACCCTCCTGTTGAAACCCTCCAGAAATACATCCCACACTGCTAGGTCCTCCCGCAGTGGACGTGTAAGTCACATGGAATGGTGCGGCTTCGACACCCTGGCCGTAGCCGCAGTCAACCTCCTATTGAACATCCGCCCATCGGCATTATGCAGCAAGGAAACTGCAATTTCCCCAAGAGTGATTGAAGCTGCCGCAATGGCAGCTGCAGCAGCTCCCTCGCAGTTGCCACCAACCCACACAACTCCACCATCTTGTCCATAGGCAGGTGGCATTCCCTGGCCAAGGAATCGATCTTGATCCCTAGAAAGCTGAGACAGGTAGCCGGACCCACCGTCTTATCTGGCGCCAGCAGAACCCCAAAGGACTGCAACACAGACTCCAGGGATCTCAGTAGCCACGAGCAGACAGGCGAGCCCGCCGGTCCTACACACAGAAAGTCATCCAAGTAGTGTAGGATCGAGGGCAAACCTGACTCAATCCGCATAACCCACTCCAAGAAAGTGCTAAAACATTTAAAAAAAATCATGATATTGAACACCCCATAGGGAGGCACAAGTCTACATGATACTTTTCTTAAAAAAAGCACACCCTAGGAGATGATGACACTCCGGATGCACCGGGAGCAAACAGAATGCTGACTCCATGTCGGCCTGGGCCTAGAGGGCACCTGGCCCCGTAGTGCAAACCATACGCACTGCAGCTTCAAACGAGGCATAAGAGACCTGGCAAAGTTCCTCATCTGGAGGGTGTGACAAATGTTGAATGAGCCACAACTTACCTGGCTTCTTCTTGGGCACCACATCCAGGGGCAAAACCCACATCTACATAAAGTACAGTCAGATGATATGTTTGAAAAATATTAGTATAACATTTATAGGGTTATTATTAAAGTGAGAATTGCTGAGGATTCTAAGTGAATTTCAAATTTAAGGCTATTAAAAATAGCCAAACTGAAAATAGAGTTGGATTGGAGAATGCTTCTTATTCGGCTATTTGGGCCTACATTTTCAAATTCACCTTGGACTCCTCACAATTCTCACATTAGTGAATAACGCTTTTATTTGAAACATGGGATGCCTACAGGGTTATTCAATAAAGTGAGAATTTGAGGTACATTCAAAGTGATTTTACGCCATTTAACGCCAAAATAGATAAACTGTAAAAATCCTCTACGTCAGCTATGCCTTCAGTTTGGCTACTCTGGCCTTAGATTTGAAATTCTTTTTGAATCCATTTTGAATTCTCACTGTAGTGATATTATTATTATTATTATTATTATAATATTTATATAGCGCCAACAAATTCCGTAGCGCTTTACAGTGGGTGGACTAACAAACATGTAATTGGGACCAGACAACATATGATAAAACAGCAGTAGATTGCAGTTCAGACAAACATAAAAAGTAATACTATGCAAATATTCACAATTTGTACATTCGTGTATTCATTCTTTATAGAACTATTGGGAGAATAGCTTTAGACAGTATACAGCTTCCATTGTCTTCCAAAATTTCACACAGGGTATTAGTAAGCTGGTATAAATGCAAAAATAAAAATTAAAAATTCACATATAATAGCTGTGACAAAAGTAAATAAATAAAATAGGTCAAATATCCCCTTTATAGGTATTTGCAAAGACCCCGATGACATTACTAGCAGTTCAGATTACTAAAAATGTCAACAGAATGTAAAAAGAATATCTGCATTTGTGCATAATGTACATAGAGTACAGTTAAATCTATATTAGTAAAATGATGGTATTTCAAACGGTTTATGGCGATCTCTGTGTATTGTTAAGAGGTGTATGGGAGAATGTGTTTAATGCTCCCCCCTCAAATGTTGTCACCTTTGAGTTTCCCTTATTATTTGAAAGGGAGGGATGGGAGAAGGCCATTTCCAGAGCATTTTCAGACAATAAATTGTTGGAATTAGCGCTGTATTTAGCGCAAGGCTGAAAAGGCATTTGCCTTGGGTGGCACTTTCAGGGGGCTGTAAAGAAAGCCACCCCCAATCGCCCTGGCAGATGCCTTGACAGCCTCTTGTCCTGGGGGGCCCAGGAGCTGGCCGGCTGGCCACCTCAGGACCTACCGAGGCTAGCATCTGCTGATGATGGAGGCGGGCGATGAGGGAGAACTCTCCCCTGAGCTCTTCCTGCTCAGCTCGCTCACGCGCCCTGAAGTGATGCTGGAGCCGGGATATGACGTTACTCCTGCCCCAGCATCACTAGGAGGCGTACAAGGGAGTTGAGCAGGAAGATCAGAGCTCCCTCGCTGCCTCCAATGTTATCCTGCCTGCCCAACTGTGCCTGCGTCTGCCCGCCTATGTCTGCATGCTTTGCCTGCCCCACTGGACCCCAGGGAAGAATCCACTCCAGTACTTCCAAATAAAAGTAAATGTGTCT